CCAATTTTTGCTCTTTTTTCAAACTTTTGATATGAAATCCTTCGAAAAAGAGAACGTTTTTTATGTCATTTTGAAGCCTTGCACTTGGAAAACAGATTGATAGTCGACTTTTTAGTCGGGAAAAAAGCTCAAGAATAGTTCCATGATATTTATAAACTTTTGAAAAAGTTCTGTTTACTTTTCTTTGAAAAGTTTGTCTTTGTTTTTCACTGATTGTTCGAGTGTGAAGGCGGAGATCATCGTCAGAATCTTATTTTTTTGTTTTTTAGTCTTCAACGTTAAACAAATAAGTCCTTTAAAGGATTACAGAAGGTTACTGAATTATTCTCAACTCTTTTTTCTCGAATAAAACAAAGCGGCTATCAGCTGTGTTTTCTAACTTTTCACAGTGAAATTCTTCAAAATGATGTTGAAAAAGTTCTCCGTCAAGCCAATAAAAGAACCTAAATTGCGTAGAATAGACTTTGTTATGGGCGTTAAAGTTCAAAAGATTTGACGATCAAAAGGTTTGTGGGATCAGATCTTTTGGCTTCAAGGGACTTGATTTCATCAAAAGTATTGAAGTCAAGGCCTTGAATTATCGATTCTTTGGAATTGAAACCATGCCTAAGAGTAACTACCTCCAAGAAACAAGAATCGAACCACTGTCATTCTACTTCTCTTTCTCTGTTTTCTCTGACTTTCCTCGGAAAAAAATGCTAAAGGGTTGAGCTATATCTATCGGTTGATCAAAACATCTTAGGCGAAAGGATCTACGGTTGAATAAGAGAACAGATTTTGGGAAACCAGAGATTGAGGTTCGATACTTCTGACGAGGAAGGATTGATTTCTTGACAGCAGCTTCATCCTCATTTGAAATTACAGACGAATTCTCTCTCGTTTTTTAGGAAAATCTGTTATTGGCGTAGCATTTCAAAATTATTCCGGACTTCAATCTGTTGGCTATATCATTCCAATACCTGTTATTGAACATTTTCTCGAAGATATTAAAAGAAATGGACATTATACTGGTTTTCCAACGTAAGAAGCGCACACGCAGCAAACTAAGCTCTGCTCTTTCTGGTTTTCTCGCTCACTGTACTGCTACTGCTACTACTAGGATGCTATGTGAATTTCAAGTTATGGAACATAAAGCTTTACGTGATTATTTAAAAATACCAAAAGATCAACACGGTGTACATATTACTGATATTGATCCAGCTTCTTCACTAATTGGAGGAGAAGGAGGAGGTCTGCAAGTTAATGATGTTATAACAGCTATTGATGATGTTTCAATTCAAGATGATGGTACAATTGAGTGGAGAAAAGCTGAACGTTTAACAGCTAATTATTTAACATCAAATAAATTTATTGGAGATGAAGTTACATTTACATTGATTCGAGATGGTAAGCTGTGTAGAGATACCGACATTAGCACTCTCGTGACTTTTCAAAACTTGGTCAGAAGCAGCGTCACAGTGTTCAAAAAAAGGTTCACTTCTTCTCGTTCGTCGCACAGTGAGCAGTCACTTGAACATTAGGTGGAAAAACGAAAGTTCTTTTAAAATTTCGACAGTATCCAGTATACACTGGCTAATTTAATGGTAAAAGAATTTTAGGTCTGGCGTTTAACCTCAGTAAAAAAACTGAGTCGCAAAAATTAGCTTGTTTTACGTTACTTCTATAGATGTGTCTTTTATTGTTTGGGAAGAAATGTTGTGTAATTTCTGTCGAAAAAGCGATTTTCAGAGAATTCGTAGGTGAATTATGAAACAATTTTTAGACTGCTTAGCGACGCCAGAAACATTTGAAAAACAGTTTTCTGTAGGTTTTCGAGTGCAGCCGATTTAATGGTGTAGTTTTGAAAAACAAAGAAAACAGTTTTTTTGTACTAAAATTGAAGCTAAATTTAAAAAAAGGAGCCTCAGTGTGCCTGCAGCTTTCGTCGCTCATTCAAACAAAAAAAAAATATTGGGCTTTGTGTTGTACTTTGGTTGAGTAATCTTGGAAATATGTCGTAAAACCCACGTTCTGAGAAAAACGCAAATCAATTATTTTTGAAAAAAAAAATTTCATGATGGTTAGTAGAAGTTAATGGAAATCATCAAAAATTTCGGTCAAAAATGGGGTGCCGAAGAAAAAACCAATAGTGTTTCTAAAAGAGCAGAAGACGGGCTATCTCTCCATGTATTTATCTCGATTTCGAAATTTTTGACGAAAACTGACTTTTTTGAGGGGGAGGGGGCCTTAAACGTAAGAAACATCGCACTTCCCTCAAAAGTAAAGAAAGAAAGGTTCTATTTGGTATGTGTTCGCTCGTTTCGACCGTCGAGAAAGGTCTAAACAGCTCTTTTTCTTCCACTTTGACTGACTGACAGGTATCTTCTTTGCTTCCGAGTGGCTTCTCAAAGTAACCGACACTCAAAAACAACTTTCTGCGTTCGTGTTTTTAGTCTTTTTGGCCATAAAAGGTCTTCTTCAATATTTCTGGCCACGTCGATCTGAAATCAAACCACAAAGTCACACACGATTTTCAGTTTTTTTAGAACGGCTAATTTAGAGCAGCTACTATACTAGCTTTCCCTAGTCAAAAGCATTCACCAAGTTTTTAGCTCTATGAACACTTCGTGTAGCGAATGAAAGACTTAATACGGTGGAGGTTTTTCATCGTGTCGGTAATTTTCTGGGTAAGTTGTCGTTTTTTTTTCTGTTTTTCTGAGTTGTAATAGCATTTTCGTAAATACGCAAAGAAGAGGCTGAAAATAGGCACTCATCAATTGAAAAGCCAAGCCCATTCATTGTCAAAGTCAAAAAAATGTCTATTTACGCAATTCATCTGCTTTTATTTTCTTAAAAAAGAACTTTTAATAGCATTTTGAAGTTTTTCCACTGTGAAAAGGTTAGACAACACAGTTGATCGGCAACTTTTTACTGAAGATAACGTTGTCTGCTCCGGTCGATGACCTTTCTGATCTTATAAAAAACTCATTTGTAAGTTTGTATTATTTTTCACTAAATGTGCGAGTGAAACGGGAGATTAACGAATGATTAATGAAAAGATCAGAAATTGTCATCGAACGGATCGAACAACGTTTTTTCCAGTAAAAGATCAGCTGTCAAGTCCGTTTTCTAAACCTTTGCAAAGCGAAACGCTTCAAAATGACGTTGTTCAAGAAAATAAAAGTAATTAAATTGCTTGAACTAGACCTTTATTTTGGACTTTGAAGTTCAAAAGTTCTGCTCTTTGAACTTGAATGGTTTGAGGATCAAAAAGCACAATACATCAAAGATTTTGGGTTTAAAAGGCTTGATGGATCAAAAACATCGCAGTCAAAAGTTTTTGAGGTCAAAACTTCAAAGCAAAGCGGGAACTGATGTATTCCTACTTGAAAATCAAAAGATCGATCTTTTTTACCTTTACGGTTCTGTGTTTTTGTTTTATTTTGACCAAAAAATTAATACCTTGATATCATTTGTGTTCTACTCTCGCAGGTAAAGAACTCCGCGTCAACTGTACCTTAAACGACGGTCACACCACTTTAATGCCATTTCATCTGCACGATCAACAACCTGAATATTTGATTTACGGTGGTATTGTCTTTACTACTCTGTCACTGCCGTATTTGAATGAATTCAATGAATATCAACCGTCTGTTGCAATTCCAATTCATTTACATAATATGTATTCATTTCATAATCGTCTGGAATTTATTGGACAACAAATTGTTATTATAAGTCGAATTCTGGTTGACAATGTCAATATGGGTTTAGATTCATCTGATTATATTAATTCATTTGTATTTCACGTAAATGATATTAAAATACAAAATTTAAAGCATTTAGCAAATGAAATCGACAAAGTTAAAGATAAAAATAATCAATATATTAAATTTGGTTTAAAATTTAAAAAATTTATTGTTATATCGACTGATGAAGCACGTAATACAGAACAGCGTATACTTAAACAGAATTCAATTGCACTTAGTAGAAGTGAAAACTTAATTGTTTAAAATTATTTTCCAACTAACGTTCTTTGACTTCAAGATTTTACAAAGGAATTTTCGTAGCCGTTTACTTTTTTTAATTTTCAGTCGTTTTTTTAATTTCTATTTTTTTTATTCTGTTTATGACAGAAAATGAGAGCTCTGTTACTAACATGCAGCTAAGACAACATTCAAGTGGATTTTATTTTCCGATTTATCATACATATTCTGATTTGTCTTGTCAAGCTGAGCACGAATATCACCTTTCGGACCTTTAAAATTCCTTTTTCATGGAGAAAAACTTGAAATACCGAGAGGGTCTAAAAATGGAAAAATATATTTTGCTCTGGGGAGATTTAACTTTTTATCATTTAACTTTTGCATTTTATCCGTTTTCTAAAGGAATATCAAAAGTTTCATTTCGATGGTGACCGTAAATCATCTGTATACTCAACATGACATCTTCGTTGTTCAGCTTTTTCGTCCAAATCAGATACTTTTATCCTCTCTCTTCTACATCCACAGAAAGGGTTTGGAGGTATCTCTACACCTCTAGATCTACCTTCATATTCAATTTTAAAACGTTAAATAAATCTGTTTCACGCCCAAGTCTGAAGAATGCTATGAAAAACAATGTTTGGACTGTTCATTAATTAAATGCTGCTGGTGCTGACACGAATTATACACCAACCACTTTTTTTGTGAAAGTGCTGTATGTGGGCAAAACGAAAATAACATGGCCAGTGGATGAAGGTTTCTAATACCAAGAAACAATCTAAACAATATATAAACAAATCACCGGTGGTTAATCGAATATTCATTCAGGGAATGACAGACTAACTAACATTTTCTCTGTAAGGATGAGACTAATAAAGCTAAACTTTTCGATGCAATTAGATGGCTACAAAATGCGTTTGTAGATAACATTTTAGCTCTTTAAATTGTTTTGTTGTAGGAGAAAAAACCAAAAATTATAGAAATTGGCTTGATGAGTAAAAGTTTAGTTTCTGTTCAAGCAGAGAAGATCTAACCGTGACTTTTTAGAGAAATTAGCTACTAGATGGTTCTGACTGTGACAAAATCTCAGTTGTTAAAACGTCAACGATGATGAGACCTGTGACAACTATCAGTTTGGTACCAAAGCTTCTTAAAAGCCTGTGCACCATTAGTTGGTGCACATCGGTCGAGCATCAGTAATAGTCAAAAGGCTTTTACAAGTTCATTTAACACTGATATGTTGATGGTAGCCCATCCATTTCTGTGTTGTGGATCTTTAAAATGCAAATTTATGCGCAGCTCAAGAATGTGTGAACGAAATGTCGGAGTGGTGTGAGAGGATGCTAGTGAAACTTAACGCTAATAAATGTCAATGGATTATTTTCTCTACTGTTCTTTCCAGTACAATTAAGTTAGGTGAACTGAAACTAAATGGCATTTCGCCTGAGAGCGTTTCTTCTTTAAAATTGCTTCGAGTACATCTTGTTCACAATCTAACTTGGAAAGAACATATAAATCAAACGGCTGCTAAATGCAGATATCGACTATTTCATACAGCGTTTAATACAGCATTTTCGCTATATAAGAGTTACACCTGAAGTGCGTCCCAAGATTTTTAATAACGGTTTGTCGTAGAGCGTTCATTCTTTTTTTGTTTAAAAGAGGAAAAGAAACTACATCGACTGACCGGCGTCGATTTTTGAATTAGGTCTTAGGTTTTTGTCAAACTGAGGATTTTTAGAAAATCCTCAGTTTGATAAAAACGGGGGTTCGCAGGTTGTTGGTTGCCTGGAAAACCAATAAAGGCTTAATTGAAAAATCGGCGCCGGTCAGTCGATGTAGTTAGGTGTCTAGTTTAAAATAAAACAAACCCGAACTCTCCAGCTTGAAGTATAT